ATGGGTAATAAATGCAAATAACATTCAATCTTAGACATTTAAATTATTTTGACCCAACCTCTTAAAACTTACCCTTCTTGGTCCACCTTTATCTACTATATGCATGTAAATATGATTTCCACGTAAAATTTGTTTCTTTTCCACCCTTGAAAGATTATTCATATAGTATTATTTTTGTATTGACTAAAGAGGGCTACTACCTTATGACATAGACCTATTTATGATTCGTGTAAACAGATTACAAGAAGGGTAGCTATCTCGTTTCATAAATTCTACAACATTGCATGCAATGGAGTACACGCTACGAAAATATGTGCGTAATACATGAAACAAGAGCCCTGCAAACGATGCAATTTCACATGCTTAATGACCAATTTTTTCGCCCCAAGTCTCCTGCAAGTCAATCGATCATCACCACATACAGCTCCATTGAACAAGCCAATTAAAGAAAGCTTTTTATTAAAGATGTCAAAGAAACAAACATCTCTATGCATATCTCTCCATCGTGTCTGCCCTTTAATTAATAATGCATTGAACTTAGATTTTTAAAAGTAAATAATCATCTTGATCAGTGATATATATGGCTTGATCTTTCATACAGTTTCTGATCGAATTTGATCATGATGCAAAAATATAACATTTGTTCTGTTTATGCAACCATTTATCTTAAATATTGACTGAAACAAGATTCAAGAAAGATATAATGTTCGTTTCGTCTATATTACTCTCAGTATCCTTATTACAAGATCGATCAACGAAACTTTTTTGATCAGCAGCTTCAACGTAGTTACAAAAGAAGAAAATTAAGACTTAACTGTGGAAAAATCGCCAAGAAAAGATTCCAAAAAAAAAAAAAAAAAAAAAACCAAGAGGACGAGCCCATGCATGATCTTGATCATATCTTGATAGAAAACTAGGGTTTTGGGGTGGAGAAATCGCAGTAAAAAGTAACCGAGGAGTCAGGGTTCTCGTTATGGCACGGAGACGACCCAGAAGGAGGAACAAAACCCTTTGGAAGCATGGCTGAGAAAGACCTGGTATTGAAGTTCTTGGCGTTGTGTTTTCTCTTCATCATCTCCCATCTCTTCTTTCTGTTCTTGTTGAATTCTTTATTATTGTTCAACAAGAACGGTCTGGTATTCTTGGTGTACAAAACTTGGTACTGAGTGATGGGTGTGTTTGAAGGAGAAGAAGAAATTCTGGGTTGGATTTGATCAACGGAAGAGGAAGTACTGCAAGAAAAGAAAACAAGGAAGAAAAAGAGAAACATTAGCGAGGTGCTAAAGCATTTCAAGGTTTGATTTTGATGGAAACCCATGAGAGCTTAGAGTTTTTGGATTGTGGTGAATTTGTAGTGAAAGTTATAAGCACCGAGATTGACAATCGGTAATCCCAACAGTTTTTGGCTTGAGATCGACAACCAGTAGGTGGAAGTATTTATATATAGTGAATGACTGTAGGTGAAAAAACTATATCTTAAGTGTTAATTTGGTATTAAAATAGGTGTCTCAATTTCAAATTTTCATTTACACTAATATGTATTTGGTATGTATTTCACTTATTCTATACTGTGTATAATCTTATGAATTAGAATATTTTAATTAATAGCATAAAATCAGTATATTTTCAAGAAAATATCAAAGATATTGGTAGAATTTGAGGCGAGCCTGACTCCTCACCCAATAAGATCTTGTTGAATGGAAGGATTGCCTCCTCTTATAAACTAGTAGGTTTGAACGTGTCTAGTCGGTGTGAGACTCCAATACTCCTCCTCACAGTCAAGCCCATATGTTGGGTCATGCCTGTTGATGGAGGTAGTTGCTAGCTCTAACCCCTCACTTGTTAGTCAAGCACTCAACTCAATTGAACCTGGGCTCTAATACCAAGATAAAATTTGAGACGGGTCTGACTCCTCACCCAATAAGACCTTGTTGAATGGGAGGATTACCCTCTCTTATAAACCAGTAGGCTTGAGCGTGCCTAGTCGATGTGGGACTCCAACAGATATAACTGACTACTTTATACATGTGTGATCTCATATTGTAGTATATATATATCTATGATCGAAAGTGTCCAGGTCAGTTTGCACACACCTCGATTAATCCCTAAAGATCCTGAAGTTAACGACTGAGTAAACCCTCCAGTGGCTACTCTTATTAACAACCGAGGAAAATCGAAACTCAAAACCTCTTGAGTAATATATGCAAAAGTCTTTATCGTCCCACCTGGACACCTAGTAGATGGTTAAAGGTATATTGTTGCATACATTTAAAAAAAAAAAGTTTCATTCACATTCAAATCTTTCACCGATCAATGATTACTCCAATTTGAGTTCGGTCTCTTGTAAAGAATATTTTAAAATCAAATTCATGTTTCACGTAAAAGGATTTGAATACTAATGTTGATCGTACATATTATTTTCCAACGCTTCGTTTGTTATATTATTATTGTCAATTAATCAATCACTCGAATCTACATCGATATCTTAGATCTAAAAATTGAGAGAATTTGAATACTGATATCAAACCACATTTAATAACCTAAACATTTTTGTCAAAAACGTATTCAATATACTTAAATTTCTAATCAATCATCCTAAAAATCTACATCTTAGATCTAAAAATTAAAGAGATTTGAATACTTATGTCAAACCCATATTTAATAACCTAAATTTTTGGTTAAGACCATATTTAATACCTTAAATTTTTTTGTTCAAGTGATTATTTAACTTCCAATGGTTGTTAGTACATTTTAGTTTAGGATAAAGGTATTGGAATAGAGTTTTGAAAGGAAAAAGAGGTTGGTGAAGAGAAAGTTTTGACCCAACAGAAAGAAGAATTTCGATTGGGTCTTGCTTGAGGAGAGTGTAGGATCTTGTAGGTGTTTGTGTGATGGTTTTGTATTGGGGGTTGGATTTGGTGAGTGGAGAGTGAAGCAAAAGAGCGAGAGAGAGCTACGGAAAAAAGGAGGGAAGTTGTTTGATAATTGTTCTCAACGACATTTTGCCGGTTAAGTGATTCACATAGGTCATTCGAATGTGTTTTTGGCGAAAATTGGTGAGCGTGAAACGCAACATGGATTTTGAATCTACTGAATAGACCGTGAGTTTGTTCGTTCTGTACGATTGCTCCATCAAATTGGATTATGGGGCCGTCGGTGGAGAGCCCACATGCGAGCATGGAAAAGTGAGGCTGAGATTAAAATAAGTCTGAATTTTTCAGGCCTGGATTTATTCTAATTCTTATTTGAAAGTTACAAGGTCAAGCCTTTCTCATGCCCAATCAATAATTGCCCCAACCCATCGGAATAAGTTTGGCTTTATTTGACGTAAGTCATTTTTAAACTATTATATCCTCCAATTTAAGCAAATTCCTTTATAAAATGAAAATGAACAGATTTTTTATTTTTCTTTTCTACTTTTTTATCTTTTATATGAGGATTAGAGCTAGTAACTGCTTATGAAAGTCTGGCTCTCACATTTTATATATAATTTGACATAATTTTTAAATCATTATTTGTGCAGATCTTTTGGACAACCAGATTCGTGTCACTTGTCCTTACGCCATCTAAGATCTGACGATTAAGCTCAACCCATGTGTCCCCCCACAGGCAAATGACATCAGTAAGCTCATCAATACTAAGCATGGGTGTTGAGACTTAAGTATGGGGGAGTCTGACTCATATCCGAATTACGTGGGATAGCATGTAATCCATCTTTAAAACACCACTCCCAACCACTGTCAGAATGAGTGTAATAAAAGAGATGTCCCCTTCTTTTTGGGAGATCAATTATTCACACAAGAATTTACTTGTTTTTCTCTTTGTTTACTTTGTGTGTAACAAATACAAAACAATAATATAGCAGTGGACGTAGGCTTGATTCTTATCGGTCGAATCACTTTAAAAATCGTCTATGTTCTCTTATCGCCTCTTTACTAATCTATTCCTAAGCTAATTATTCTTAATCATGACACATCTTGACCAATCCCTTCAAAGGTCGACTAGACATCTCTAGTTGTTGCGTTTTGCCTAACAACACATAGATTGATGCATGAATTGGTATTAATCTAAATGGTTTTATCATTTCTAACATATATGGGTAATAAATGCAAATACATTCAATCTTAGACATTTAAATTATTTTGACCCAACCTCTTAAAACTTACCCTTCTTTGGTCCACCTTTATCTACTATATGCATGTAAATATGATTTCCACGTAAAATTTGTTTCTTTCCACCCTTGAAAGATTATCATTATAGTATTATTTTTGTATTTGACTAAAGAGGGCTACTACCTTTGACATAGATCCATTTTATTGATTCGTGTAAACAGATTACAAGAAGAGGTAGCTAGCTCGTTTCATAAATTCTACAACATTGCATGCAATGGAGTACACGCACGAAAAGATGCGTAATACATAAACAAGAGCCCTGCAAACGATGCAATTTCACATGCTTATGACCAATTTTTTCGCCCCAAGTCTCCTGCAAGATCAATCGATCATCACCACATACAGCTCCAATTGAACAAGCCAATTAAGAAAGCTTTTTATTAAAGATGTCAAAAAACAAACATCTCTATGACATATCTCTCCATTCGTAGTCTGCCCTTTATAATTAATGCATTGAACTTAGATTTTTAAAAGTAAATTAATCATCTTGATCAGTGATATATATGGCTTGATCTTTCAATACAGTTTCTGATCGAATTTGATCTGATGCAAAATATAACATTTGTTCTGTTTATGCAACCATTTATCTTAATATTGACTGAAACAAGATTCAAGAAAGATATAATGTTCCGTATTCGTCTATTATTACTCTCATTATCCTTTTACAAGATCGATCAACGAAACTTTTTTGATCAGCAGCTTCAACGTAGTTACAAAAGAAGAAATTAAGACTTAACTGTGAGAAAATCGCCAAGAACAGATTCCAAAAAAAAAAAAAAAAAAAAAACCAAGAGGACGAGCCCATGCATGATCTTGATCATAGGAAGAAAACTTTCAGCTCCTAATGAATGTCAATTCTCTTTCTTGGTTTCCTAGTCCAAACCCTCAGACATGACTGTTATCTTAGAGAAATGAGCATGTCAATTTCATTGGTAGCAAGTGTGGAAACAACATTAATTTTACATTGAAATTTATGTGTGAACGAGTAGAAACTTATTAGAGAATTTTTATCAAATCTACATAAAACTTAAACCAGGCTCCTTTTGTTAGCTCCATCTGAATGTCAATTTGTATTTTTCTGTGTCTGATTATCTACCTCAGGCATAAAAATCTCGTCCCAGAGAGTCTTCAAGTTGATTTGTAATATCTGACAGAACATTGTGGAGAATTTATTATCCCACATCATCAATCCTGTCACTTCTAAGTTTTAGCAACTAATGGATGAATGATTATCTCAAAATTCTCTTCTGGTCTGGCCAGTCTCCCACATCAACACCTTCATTGCAACTGAGCAGATGTCACAGTCTTCATTCCATAAGCCAAATGCTGAACACTCTGTATATTTAGCTATCTATTAAGTTAGTATTCCTGTCAGGAGAATAGCCAACTCCTATAATGGTTGATTATCCATGAAGTTTGACTCCAGAAATCATATCAGTCCTCAATGAATTCAAAGTGCCCCTTCTATTTTTTCTGAATCATCTTTTGATACTTTGCCATCACTAGACTGATATCTCCAGACTCCAAGTGTCTTATAATCCCAGACAATCTCAGATATCTGATCTTGAGGCAAGCTCAGGCCTTTACATTTTATTGACTTATGCAGGTCACAAAAGAATTTTGGGTCTTGTAGTCTGATATACTCGTGCAATATCCGCTCATGATCCGGGATCCAGTTCCTAGGAAATGGTGTGTAATCGCATGATGGAATCAATGACATGTGTGAGAACTGAACACCTTCAATTGCATCAACAAGTCCTATCCTCAAAAGATCAGAATACTCAGGCGCAGAATTGTTAGTGCTCTCCCTCAGAGGATGGCTAAGATCACGAGAAGCTATCTTGTAAACTTTGGCACGAGACTTCAGTCTATACCTTGCAGCATAAAGTTTAGCCAAAGAACTACGAATTACATAAGCACAAAACCCAACAATTTTCTTTCTATTATCAGCATACCGGTACCAATCAGCCATTGTTTCAAGAAACTTATTCATCTGTGAATTACTATGAGCTTGACTTGAGTAAAGCATAGGATTACAAGGCAATGGCTCAGGATCCTTATCACCCTTGACAAACTGAAGTGACCTAAATCGGCGAATACATTGCTGCAAACTAGCAGTAACCGAAAGCAAAGTTCCTACACCCTTCTCGCTCACAATTTTACCTCCATTCCCTGTGTACCTAAGTGTAGGGTGTATCACTCTCCTGCAAATTATATGATCCAAGAACTGAATTCCCCTAGTTATATGTTCAATCTCTAGTTTTGTATTATCCAACCTTATTCCAAATTTTCTCTCACAGAACTCAATTATTTCCTTCCTGATTTCCACAGCATCCTCTCTGGGCCCTCGAATACCAATCAGAAAATGACCCCCATATCTAATATAATCCATTTTCCTTGTCTTCTCCCTCCCACTCGATGGAACAAACTCCGGCCAAGCGGGGTTATGACAACCATCATTTATCGAATCTTTCCATATTGAATCAAGCTTATTAGGCTGAAAAAACTCAAGTATTTTCTCCTCCATCATTTGATCCAATTCATTAAGACACACATTAGCAAGTAAAGGACTCAAAATCCCACAATGACAATAAGACGGTACCTTAGCAGCCTCCTCTGGCGCAAAATTAAAAAACGTTCGTAACCAATAAGGGTCTGGTTTTGGCTCATTGTCTTTCAAAATCTTCTTCTTCGTAGCACCCTTTTTCTTCTTCTTCTTCTTCTTCTCCTTATGCAAATCTTCATTACCATCATCACTCCGAATCCGATACTTACCCGATTCTTTAAGTCCCAATTTGACTAAATTCAAGATTTTCTTATCTTTAACAGCCTTTTCAACACAACTTAAAATAACATCAGATGGAACATAAGCAAGAAGTTCAGTTAAATCACCTCTCAAAAACCACAAGTAACCAGCAAAGTTACCCCTAATAGTTCTTATAACCGTATGAGCATTTCTTCCTGGCCGAAACGCGTGAGATTTCCCCGAAAATCGGGGCTCAAAAACCGGTTCAAGCACCATAAGCAAGACCTCCTGAACCACCCGGTCCTGAAAACACGGCTCGTCTGACTCAAGAATCGCTTTAAGTTTCGTTTTCGAGACGGGTTTCGTAAACGGGGCGTCGTTTGGATTCCGGATGAGTTGGTGAGTTTTGTCGTGCCATTTGAAGGATGAGCGAAGTACGGATCGTTGGAGAGAGAGGAGAGAGTGGATAGTCTGGGAGTGAATGGCATTACGAGGAGGGAACGTGCCGGTCACGTGAGCGCAAGCTCGTTGGTAAGCGAGAAGCCAGATATCGAATTTGGAGAGGAAGCCTGAGAGGTTTGGAAAGGAAAAAGAGGGTGGTGAAGAGAAAGTTTTTACCCAGACAGAAAGAAGAATTTCGATTGGGTCTTGCTTGAGGAGAGTGTAGGGATCTTGTAGGTGTTTGGTGTGATGGTTTTGTATTGGGGGTTGGATTTGGTGAGTGGAGAGTGAAGCAAAAGAGCGAGGGAGAGCTACGGAAAAAATGGAGGGAAGGTGTTTGATAATTGTTCTCAACGACATTTTGCTGGTTAAGTGATTCATCATAGTGTCATTCGAATGTGTTTTGGCGAAAATTTGTGAACGTGAAACGCAACATGGATTTTGAATCTACTGAATAAGACCGTGAGTTTGTTCGTTCTGTACGATTGCTCCATCAGAATTGGATTATGGGGCCGTCGGTGGAGAGCCCACATGCGAGCATGGAAAAGTGAGGCTGAGATTAAAGAATAAGTCTGAATTTTTCAGGCCTGGATTTATTCTAATTCTTATTTGAAAGTTACAAGGTCAAGCCTTTCTCATGCCCAATCAAATTAAATTGCCCCAACCCATCGGAATAAGTTTGGCTTTATTTGACGTAAGTCATTTTTAAACTATTATATCCTCCCAATTTAAGCAAATTAACCTTTATAAAATGAAAATGAACAGATTTTTTATTATTTCTTTTCTACTTTTTTATCTTTTTATATGAGAGATTAAGAGCTAGTAACTACTTAATGAAAGCCTGGCTCTCACATTTTATATATAAATTTTGACATAATTTTTAAATCATTATGTTGTGCAGATCTTTTGGACAACCAGATTCGTGTCACTTGTCTTTACGCCATGCTAGGATCTGACGATTAAGCTCACCCCACCTGTCACCCCCATAGTAGATGACATCATCAGTAAGCTCATCAATACTAAGCATGGGTGTTGAGACTTAAGTATGGGGAGGTCTGACTCATATCCGAATTACGTGGGATTATGCATGTAATCCATCTTTTAACAACCACTCCCAACCACTGTCAGAATGAGTGTATAGAAAAGAGATGTCACCTTCGTTTTGGGAGATCAATTATTCACACAAGAAATTTACTTGTTTTTCTCTTTGTTTACTTTGTGTGTAAAACAAATACAAAACAATAATATAGCAGTGGACGTAGGCTTGATTCTTATCGGTCGAATCACTTTAAAAATCGTCTATGTTCTCTTATCGCCTCTTTACTAATCTATTCCTAAGCTAATTATTCTTAACCATGAACACATCTTGACCAATCCCTTCGAAGGTCGACTAGACATCTCTAGTTGTTGCGTTTTTGCCTAACAACACATTAGATTGATGCATTGAATTGGTATTTAATCTAAATGGTTTTATCATTTCTAACATATATGGGTAATAAATGCAAATAACATTCAATCTTAGACATTTAAATTATTTTGACCCAACCTCTTAAAACTTACCCTTCTTTGGTCCACCTTTATCTACTATATGTATGTAAATATGATTTCCACGTAAAATTTGTTTCTTTTCCACCCTTGAAAGATTATTCATTATAGTATTATTTTTGTATTTGACTAAAGAGGGCTACTACCTTATGACATAGATCCTACTTATTGATTCGTGTAAACAGATTACAAGAAGAGGTAGCTAGCTCGTTTCATAAATTCTACAACATTGCATGCAATGGAGTACACGCTACGAAAATATGTGCGTAATACATGAAACAAGAGCCCTGCAAACGATGCAATTTCACATGCTTAATGACCAATTTTTTCGCCCCAAGTCTCCTGCAAGATCAATCGATCATCGCCACATACACCTCCAATTAAAGAAAGCTTTTTATTTAAGATGTCAAAAGTAACAAACATCTCTATGACATATCTCTCCATTCGTAGTCTGCCCTTTAATTAATTAATGCATTGAACTTAGATTTTTAAACGTAAATTAATCATCTTGATCACTGATATATATGGCTTGATCTTTCAATACAGTTTCTGATCGAATTTGATCATGATGCAAAAATATAACATTTGTTCTATTTATGCAACCATTTATCTTAAATATTGACTGAAACAAGATTCAAGAAAGATATAAAACTCAATGCGTGATCTTCAATTTCAATCTTCCGTATTCTTCTATTATTACTCTCAGTATCCTTTATTACAAGATCGATCAACAAAACTTTTTGATCAGCAGCTTCAACGTATTTACATAAAGGAAGAAAATTAAGACTACTGTGAGAAAATCGCCAAGAACAGATTCCAAAAAAAAAAAAAAAAAAAAAAACCAAGAGGACGAGCCCATGCATGATCTTGATCATATCTCTGATGAAAACTAGGGTTTTGGGGTGGAGAAATCGCAGTAAAAGTAACCGAGGAGTCAGGGTTCTCGTTATGGCACGGAGACGACCCAGAAGGAGGAACAAAACCCTTTGGAAGCTGGCTGAGAAAGACTTTATTGAAGTTCTTGCGTTGTGTTTTCTCTTCATCATCTCCCATCTCTTCTTTCTGTTCTTGTTGAATTCTGATTATTGTTCAACAAGACGGTCTGGTATTCTTGGTGTACAAAACTTGGTACTGAGTGATGGGTGTGTTTGAAGGAAAAAGAAATTCTGGGTTGGATTTGATCACGGAAGAGAGTACTGCAAGAAAAGAAACAAGGAAGAAAAAGGACATTAGCGAGGTGCTAAAGCATTTCAAGGTTTGATTTTGATGGAAACCCATGAGAGCTTAGAGTTTTAGGATTGTGGTGAATTTGTAGAAAGTTATAAGCACCGAGATTGACAATCGTAATCGCCAACAGTTTTTGGCTTGAGATCGACAACCAGTAGGTGGAAGTATTTATATATAGTGAATGACTGTAGGTGAAAAAACTATATCTTAAGTGTTAATTTGGTATTAAAATAGGTGTCTCAATTTCAAATTTTCATTTACACTAATATGTATTTGGTATGTATTTCACTTATTCTATACTGTATATAATCTTATGAATTAGAACATTTTAATTAATAGCATAAAATCAGTATATTTTCAAGAAAATATCAAAGATATTGGTAGAATTTGAGGCGAGCCTGACTCCTCACCCAATAAGATCTTGTTGAATGGAAGGATTGCCTCCTCTTATAAACTAGTAGGTTTGAACGTGTCTAGTCGGTGTGAGACTCCAATACTCCTCCTCACAGTCAAGCCCATATGTTGGGTCATGCCTGTTGATGGAGGTAGTTGCTAGCTCTAACCCCTCACTTGTTAGTCAAGCACTCAACTCAATTGAACCTGGGCTCTAATACCAAGATAAAATTTGAGACGGGTCTGACTCCTCACCCAATAAGACCTTGTTGAATGGGAGGATTACCCTCTCTTATAAACCAGTAGGCTTGAGCGTGCCTAGTCGATGTGGGACTCCAACAGATATAACTGACTACTTTATACATGTGTGATCTCATATTGTAGTATATATATATCTATGATCGAAAGTGTCCAGGTCAGTTTGCACACACCTCGATTAATCCCTAAAGATCCTGAAGTTAACGACTGAGTAAACCCTCCAGTGGCTACTCTTATTAACAACCGAGGAAAATCGAAACTCAAAACCTCTTGAGTAATATATGCAAAAGTCTTTATCGTCCCACCTGGACACCTAGTAGATGGTTAAAGGTATATTGTTGCATACATTTAAAAAAAAAAAGTTTCATTCACATTCAAATCTTTCACCGATCAATGATTACTCCAATTTGAGTTCGGTCTCTTGTAAAGAATATTTTAAAATCAAATTCATGTTTCATGTAAAAGGATTTGAATACTAATGTTTATCGTACATATTATTTTCCAACTCTTCATTTGTTATATTATTATTGTCAATTAATCAATCACTCAAATCTACGTGATATCTTAGATCTAAAAATTGAGAGAATTTGAATACTGATATCAAACCATATTTAATAACCTAAACATTTTTGTCAAAAACATATTAAATATACTTAAATTTGTAATCAATCATCCTAAAAATCTACATCCATATCCTAGATCTAAAAATTAAAGATATTTGAATACTTTTGTCAAACCCATATTTAATAACCTAAATTTTTGGTTAAGACCATATTTTTAATACCTTAAATTTTGTTGTTCAAGTGATTATTTAACTTCCAAAGGTTGGTAGTACATTTTTGTTTAGGATAAAGGCATTGGAAGAGGAATTGGGTTTTGTCCTTGTACCATATAAGGTGGTGAGGGTCGAATCTAGACACATGGTAAGTGATAGGGGTGTTCAAAAGAACCAGTTGGAATCGGAACCGGCGGGTACCCGGTTCCTACCTAGAACCGACCTTCAACGGGTAGGTTCCAGTTCCAAAATTTTGGAACCATTACTATGCGGTTCCGGTTCCAGTTCCTATAGTTAGGAATCGAAACTGTAACCAAGAACTGAGATTAATATAAAATAAAATTAAAGATTAGGGGAGTTAATAAAAACCTTTGTAGAAAAAGTAATGTGAATTTATTTATATTTATATTTCATAACATTTAAAGTAAGTTGGTTTGACTTTTGAGAATCTACCTTTACAAAGTAATGGAGTTTGTAATTTTAAATTTTAAATTTTATTTTTGTTAACAATTGCCAGGGGGTATTTGTAAGTTTTTAAGGGTTTTTTTTACCATTTTAAAGACTTTTGGGTGGTTATGAAATTTATAGGGTACCTAGAACCGGAACCGAAATTGTTGTTACAAGGTCTGGTTCTGGGTACCTAGGAACCAGAACTGTCGGTTCCGGTTCTGGTTCCAAATTTCAAGGAACCGTCAGTTTCGATTCCGATTCTGATTCCTTAAAAAAATACAGGGTACCCGGAACCGAACACCCTTAGTAAGTGGAGGCATTGGAGTTTGGACAATTTTGTCCTGAAAATGCGTCTCTAGATGATGACGGTATCATTGCATTATATAAGCCATCAAATCTTTTCTCTTAATCCATATAGGACTTTGGCACCAACATAGTGCATTGAGTGAAAATTGCACAATATATTTTTATAGGTTTACAAATACAATATAACCCTTTGACTATTGGGCGGTGGCGAGTCTTCCGATGTCATCGAATGTCAAACTACGTCGTAACAACTCATGTAGAAAAAAACAAAAACGACAACGTGCGAAGAAAGTGCAACCAAAAACTCTCGCTTCGATCTGTTTACTAATTTACTTTACATGAACAGGACTTTGACTTGAAAAACGAACCAAACAAACCGCCGATTCATTTCATCTCACGCAATTGGCTCGCGTGTTTTTCCGCAATTCACGCGAATCATTTCCCCGCTCGAAGTAATTTTCCCTCACTTTCTCGCCATCAAAATTTTCCGTCAAAACTCTGATCCAATAGAAATTGGATCAGCAACATTAACATTTCTCATTTCGTGCCGTCTTCGCTCTGCCTCTAAATTCGTTAAAAGAGCGGAGCAGAGCAGGTCCACAAACCCTAGCTTGATAATTTAATCGAATATGTCGAAGCCTCTGCCATATTCAATGAAAGATGTTCACTATGATAACGCCAAGTTTCGTCATCGATCTTTCTTCAAGGTTTATAACCTGATCTTGATCTTCGTTTATTGATAGGATTTTAGTTAATCGAGTTTGATTTAGTTTTTTATTTTTATATTTGTTCGATGATTGATTGAATTTTTTGAATTACGTTATTGGTTAGCTTAATTTTGATTGTATTGTATGATTGCAATCGGTAAATTTGGATTTTGAGTCATTAAATGCCGTGCGATCGATCGATTGACACAATGTGAGGTAATGGAGTTTATAGATTTATTAGATTTCAGGTTTTTATTTTTTCCGGTATCTAATTTTTATACTGATGAATTATCTATCTAGCTTGCCTTTGTTCAAGAACTAGAGCTTATAAGTGTTAATCTCAGTTAAAAGTAAAACATCTCCAATTAAATGTGAAAAAAAACATCTCCAATTAAGTGTGAAAAGCTTTTTCTCAACAGTCGGTGTCTGCTGCAAAACTTATTATGAATCAATAATATTAAAGAGCTTGACATTATCTTTCCAGGAACTTTTGAGCCCCATTTTGGATCTTAATTAGTTGCACCTTCTAAATATTTTGCTAAGATTTGACTAAGAGGTTTTAAGTCTACTGACCTTAATGCTATGGTGTGTTTACCAAAGCTGTTGTTGCTACTTTTAAGCCGGACATGAAGTCAATTGGTCATCAAAAGGCATGAAATAAAGGCCTCAAATTGCAAACAAATCCCCAAAGTATAAAGGATACTTTTAGCTTCGCTTTTGATGTTTTTTTATCCTTTTTCCCCCCCTTAAGAAGTCACTCTTATTGTTTTGATGTATTTGCAATACTTTAAGGTTGTGTGACAATTAAACTTTTTACATTGAAATGACTCGTCTCTTACATTTTTATTTTTAAAAATCTCAGGTGATCACTCAGAGTTTGTTTACCAGTAACTTAAAGCGTGATTGTGTTAGTTGTAGTACAGGAAAGTTTCTCATGGTGTTAATGATTTTTGGTTTAGCTTATCTTATGCTGACACATGCAAGTCCTGCCATTTCTGTTTCAAATGGAGTAGCAAAACGTATTACAACTAATGATGAAGCTCAGGTCACAGTTGGTAGCACCAGATTTGAAAGATTTTGGAGAAAACCACCAAGGCTTCCTCCACGATTTTCACCAGATGAAAAAGGTAAGACTAAGAATACAAGTGTGAGATCGGAGTGGATAGATCAACAACAAAAAGTGAAGGAAGCTTTTGTTCATGCATGGTCTGGTTATAAAAAATACGCAATGGGTTATGATGAGCTTATGCCACTGAGTAAGCTGGGAAATGATGGGTTAGGAGGTCTGGGTGCCACTGTTGTGGATGCTCTTGATACTGCAATGATAATGGGTCTTGATGAAGTGGTTTCTGAAGCTGGTTTATGGATTGAAAAACACCTTTTAGATAGAATTACTCATAAAGGCCAGGTTAACTTATTTGAAACTACCATACGTGTTTTGGGTGGTCTTTTAAGTGCATATCATTTAAGTGGGGGAGAGCAAGGGATGAATCGGACTAGTACAGGACCCAGACCAACTGTTTATCTAGAAACTGCAAAAAATTTGGCTGATCGTCTCCTATCTGCATTTACTTCTAGTCCAACTTCTATTCCCTATAGTGATGTTGTTCTACGGGATTCTTCAGCACATCCAGCTCCAGGTGGATTGAGTAGTACGTCTGAAGTCTCCACATTGCAGCTTGAGTTTAACTATCTCTCTACTGTTTCTGGTGACCCAAAGTATGGCATGGAAGCCATGAAGGTTATGGAACATATTAAAACTCTCCCAAAGGTGGAAGGCCTGGTTCCTATCTTTGTAAGGTATAGTCATTCACTTTTAAGATTTATCATTATCATTACTAATCCCTTCTTTGTTTTTAGAATTGGATTTTCATTTGTCATTTCTTTCTAGATTTTCTGAACAGTCCTTTTCAGTTTTCCATTGGCAGTGTTCAAACTATATTATATTATAAAATATGACTAATGTTCAATCTCATGTTTAATGTTTTATCAATTATGAATAACTGTTTACATTTGTTTCTTGTGGTGCATGTTATTAGTTAATGAAATTTTTTGTTTATTGATATCAACACTTATGAAATGCAGCCCTCAGTCTGGGGAATTTAGTGGAGAAAATTTTAGACTGGGATCTCGTGGTGACAGCTACTATGAATATCTAATCAAAGTATGGCTTCAGCAAGGGACCAGTCGTAACATTAATTTCAAATATCTACATGACATGTATGAGGAAGCAATGAAGGGTGTCAGACACCTCCTTGTCCGGAAATCAATCCCAAATGAATTGGTTTTTGTGGGGGAATTGCCCTATGGATCAGGAGGTTCTTTCAGTCCAAAAATGGATCACTTGGTAAGTGCTACTTAGTATACAGTTATTCACGTAGCTGGTTAGTTCTAATACCTATGCTGTAACCCTTTGAACATTTAAAATTAAAAGAAGATGGCTATAGTTATTCTTTTCTCATTAATTGGCTCTGGTTTGTGAACTCAACTTGAAGTTCCTAGAATTCTATAACTGATGTGCATTTACTTAAAGCATTCATGTTGGTGCTACCGGAAGATGAAAGCAAATAGCAATTTCTCAGCCATAGGACATAAGTTGTAGCTTGTACAATATGACACATGTTGAAATTTTGTATGAATTATAGTTTCTATTGTCACATTGTCTGTGTTAATACACACACACACACACACACCGGAAGATGAAAGCAAATAGCAATTTCTCAGCCATAGGACATAAGTTGTAGCTTGTACAATATGACACATGTTGAAATTTTGTATGAATTATAGTTTCTATTGTCACATTGTCTGTGTTAATACACACACACACACACACACACACACACACACCCGCACACAGAGGATATCAGGCCATGAACCATGTTGTAGCCTTTCCTGCTCCTTAGAACCCAGGCTGTCCCAGTGAGGGTGGGATTTGACGTAAGTATTTGGTTAGACACCAAGAGACCTTACCAGCTAAAACAGCTAGCTTCTTCCATCAGTGTATCATATATATAACCAAGAGTATGCTTTCTAGATTTCTACCATGCTGTTTCTGCCTTACTGATTTGCAAACTGTCTTCATCATGATTCATGAATTTCGCAAGAGATTTAAGATTGAGCTGCTGCAAGTTGTTCTAAAAATTTGTTCTTGACAACCCAGTGTTCTTATTTTTTTATTTTTTATAGTTTTGAAGTTGCTGATCATTGTCACTCCTCCCTGAAAGTAACTATTCACATTTTTTTCTTTTTTTCACATTTGAGATTGTGAGAATAATATTTCTTGCTTGCCACTTTTACTGATGGAGTACTATGAGAACCTAAAGAGTGGTTGCATAAGCACCTCTTCTTGGAGTGATCATAATTAAGATTTAAGTGGAGAAACAATAAATTCATTGTTTGTTTACATTTTGTTCATTGCTAAGAAGCTTGAGCAATAAATTCTCCTAGAGATGAATAAATTTTGACATCTGCATTGCATCATATTGTTGTGAAATTATCGTACTTTTTAATTCGGCGAAAAAATTATTTGGTGGTATAGAATCCTTTTTGGTGTTTTTTGATTTATGGCAAGCATAATTGTTTCCATATATATACTAATACATCATAATATTTATATGATTATTGTTGGCATTGTTGGTAAACATGGTACGTGTCATTGGAATGAATTGTAAGCAAGCTTATGCCTTCCTAATTTAAATACTTCTATTGTCCTCTTCAGGTGTGCTTCTTGCCTGGAACTTTGGCACTTGGTGCTACTAAAGGCATCACAAAGGAAAAGGCTATGAAAGACAATTTGCTTACCTTTGAAGACCTGGAAAATTTGAAGCTTGCAGAAGATCTGGCCAAGACTTGCTTTGAAATGTATTCAGTAACTTCCTCTGGCCTTGCTCCAGAAATTGCTTATTTCCACACAGAGGTTAGTTTTATATGCATAATTTGGTTTGTCGTAATTGTTTTAGGATCTTGTTGATATGCATATGCTTCATGAATCTTTACACCTCTTCTTTTACAACATTTCAAACTGTTACAACTTTGCATTTTCTTTCACAGTTTCTGATATCTGATTCTAAATTAATCAGGAATATTATGAAGGTGGTCTTGATGGTGGGAATAAGAGCTCGGAGTACGTGAATGATATAATAATTAAACATCTGGACCGACATAATCTATTGCGTCCTGAAACTGTTGAATCACTGTTTGTCTTGTATCGTATAACAGGAGATCAAAAGTATGTTTATAAGATTCTCAGGAACTACATTTTCGTGTATTATTCAAATTGATGCTGCAGACCACACAACACACGTTATTGTGTTTGTCTGTGTATAGCAGGGGTTTTATTTAAGTTACATTTATTTTTTGATCTAACCAAATATATTATACCGCAGATACCGAGAATGGGGTTGGCAGATTTTTGAAGCATTTGAGAAATACACAAAGGTGGATTCTGGTGGATACACTTCTTTAGACGATGTTACTGTACTTCCTCCTCTTCGAAGAGACAAGATGGAGACATTTTTCTTGGGTGAAACACTCAAGTATTTGTATTTGCTGTTTGCTGATAGCTCTGTCATACCTTTGGATAAGTTTGTTTTTAACACAGAAGCTCATCCCTTTCCAATTAAAGGCACTGTTTAGTGGGAACGGCATACCCCCTGCTGCTGAAGCTTTCATGTGCATGCACAAGGTTGAGTGTGTCATACCTGAACACAGACATAACTGGTCTTTTTGGACTCACTGGTGTTTCTTTTACATGGTCGTGTTGTTTATTTGACTCTGAAGGCCCCCAGATTATTCAGAATGCAATCACACTTCATTTGCAAAGCACCAGTGACTTGTTTCACCCTCAAAAAGCCTGTGGAAAGAAGTTTTATAGACAGCTGTATCTGCATGGCCCAACAGATATGTCGAGACTGTAACATGTAATTTTGTGATAATTCTTCATTGGATGTTTTCATTAATTATACGTGGATGGGTTTTCTCCTCCAAAATATTGAGTTAAAGTACAAGCATTTGTATTTGACTTCTCCATTTTTGTAGTATTATTGACAGTTTTAGAGATCTAATTGATCAACTTATCTAGTCAATTTCTTTTTATATCTATATCGGTATACATGACCTAAAAGTTACAAGCTTTCTGCATGTCTACATCATAGGCTTTCAATAATCTTATGTCACATTATAATTCATGTTCACAGACTTGTTTTGAAGGAGAAACAGATGATCACCATCTCGAATGACACATGTATCATCTATTTCTGCATTCTCGGCATTGATGACTTTTGTAAATTTGTAGCCTCCGAACTTTTCACCTGCAGTTTTACAAGGATTTGGCATGCAATGGTTAGATGCAAAATAAGGAATAGATGATATGATTAAAGCAGTTAGTTGACCTCTCTTCAAGGTTAGAAAATCTTGTTTGTCTTGGTTTCATTAATTATTCTCTGTCTATTGAACTTGAAATTGATTCATAATTATTTTCCCAAATATTCAGGTTTATCTTCAAGTGTTCTTTCGAAGTCAAACAGTGCTTACCAGCAATTCTGAGGAGCTCGTCTATTGAATCAGGTAGGACAATTAACTTGGCAGGCTGCTTCTGTGATGTGCTTGTGCTTTCAAATGGCATGTGAATAGTAACTCTCTTTTTGTTTGATTTGTTCACTTCTCTGTCACTCGCAGAGCTAGAAATGCATGAGCCGAAGTGTATGGCTTCTCTTTTCAAGTGAGAATTTAAAAAACTGGGTCCCCCTTGTCTTCTATGTTTGCTTTGACTATTTACGGTGTTATCTGCTATTTCTGGTCCAATGATCTCTACCTTATGTTCATCTGGTGTTCTATTTTCATAACTTAATAAGAGGTCATATATATTTCTGTTTCCTTGCTGTTCTGCTAGAGCTTTTGGTGACCATCCTCTGGCATCGGGTTTATTTACATTTGCACCTGCTTCCAGCAATAGTTTTACCATTTCAAAATGCCCCTTTCGAATTGCAGAATGGAGTTCTGTTTGGCCATCTTCAACTTTTGGATTTACATCCATGGCATATACAGTGCAGTCTTGACCTTTGTTTGTTTCTTTCATCTCTGTAGCTTCTGATCCCAGGATATTGAAGTCTTTTAATTCCTGCAATGACGGATCTCTGTTTGGGGATTCTTGGCATCCAGCATGTAAATTGCTCCCTCCCATCGGTTCTCCATCTAGCCATTCGTTGAGGATTAATCCCGGATCTGTAGTTGGGTATTTGAAACCCATGCTTTCTAGCTGTTTCAGTTTCTGTGCATTTGTACACAAAACATCAGCTCTTGTTATTTGAAATTGAAAGTTAAAACCAATAAATTATTTTGTTACTCTAGAAGCTGTTCAATATTATACAGACCTCAGAAAGATTGTTCATTATAATGCGCCCATCTTCAGTATTTACTTGGATGGTGTTGATCAGTGAAGTTCTATTCAGTCGTAGAATTTGAGAAAGTTCAGTGGTCCTCACTGTGAAGGGCTGTGGCCTGTAACATAAAACTCCAATCTCTCCAAATACTTCTCCTGCAACTGCCTTTGCCAGGACCTGCATAGTTCACATGGAATTTTTCAGCTAGGTTTGTTGTTTGTTTTTCTTTTACAGTAGTCTGAAAGAAAATATCTGAATGTTACAACTATTATGAATATTACAACTATACATACTTGGTCTTGGCCGTTGACATAGGATATGAATTCCTGCAACCGATATTTATTACAGAATCAGATTTTAATGTGCTAAATTTGCATCTATTTTGATTTTATAGAAAAAGAAAACTCAGGTGCACTCACCACTCTTCCTGAGACCAGTATATAAAGATCTGTTGGAGCTTCATTCTGCAGAATAACCTCTTCCTTTGGTGGAAAATACTCGGCATCCATTTCTGAAACCTTATAAGAAAAGAGTGGACTCAATATTGTCTTCTGAAGGTAATATTCACATCAATGCTGTAGGACAGGCATATTAGGTAAATAGGAGCCATATATACTTATAAGTGTCCATTGATGTATTACCAGTTGAAAAAGGAAATCATGGGAAACCCCTTGGAAGAGATAGATATTTTGAGTGATGGGAAAGAAGAGATGTTGTGCAATGCTCGAACGAATGGCTTTTGGAAGACCGTTCATGGTTTCTTGCTGCTTGAGTCCTTGCGTTTTAAACCCCAGGCATATGTGTGACAACATTTGGTCCCGTACGTGAGGGGGCAGTTGATTCCGTGTAGCAAATTCTGAAGCAGCTCTGACTGTATCCCTCTGTAACACCAAAATCCACTTTTCATTAGCAATTTTAGGTTAAAAAACAGCATCCTTCTCTTTTAGAGATTTAGAACTTAAATCCAAAACTGCCTATGAACTTCTGCAATTAGGTGCTATACTGAAGAGTTAAAAAACTTCTGTACTTTTTTGAAAATAATGGGGTTCTTTTAGCACTACTGTTAATGTGACTTATAATTTGTTTTGTCATTTAAATCTATGTTTCTTTTCTTTCCTTTTCATGAAGTCTTTTTGGTGTGAGTTCGATATGTGGAATTCTTTAGCAGGTTAAAAATTTGGAAAAAGAGGAAACGTAAGTGAAAGATAACATACAAAATTCCTGGTGCGGCTGGTCCAGTGAACCACAAGGTTGGTCATGTTTCCAATGAGGTAGGATGTCAATCCCAAGTTGAATAGCATATAAAATATGTCAAACAGCATCTCCCTGGTGTTCTCAGCATGCAAGTCTCCATAACCAGTTGTTGTCAGAGTTGTTATAGACCAGTACATGGCAGTTACATATCTATTCCAAAGGCTTTCATCTTTGAAATTGGGGTTCACTGCACCAATCCAGGTTTTCTTTGGATCAGGGTATCTTTCTGCAATCAGATAGTTAAAGCATCCAGCACAGTGTACTGCAAACAGTGTTACCTGAAGTCAACCAGAAAGGGAATAAACCCATGATTTAAATGACTGAGAGGAGTGAAGAACATTTATATTATCTTGGAAAGAAAAGGAGTTGAAGTTCCTGATGACTTACAGAAATAAGCTTCGTGCACCGTGTCCAGAAATAGTTGAACCGAATGTCCTTCTCAAGTCTGAATAAAAGCCAAGTGGTTTGGTAAGTATAGTGATTCTTCCACTATAGCAGTTAAAAAATATTTTTTAGGGGAAAAAAAGATGCATGTTTGGATTAGTTATCAACCTTGCAAAAAGAGAGCTGACTCTTCTGAGACGCCAGAGTCTAAGCATGTTGAGAAGTCTGAGACCAATTTCACTGCTGTGATTTCCGAAGAGGAGGCTGAAAGACTGAAATGGAGCCGTCGAACAGACATCAAATATAAACCAGGTTGATATGTACCTGTAAGTTGGATTTGATCATGTTATGAAAGTTCAGTCTCCGTAGAAACCAACGTTATCATTTTTATCTTTTACATTTATTTAAATGAAGAAATGTTTGATTAAAGGCTGCGAAACTCTTAATCACCTGATTGCAATTTTCTTGGGATTGTCAACAAGAAGATATGATTGGCTATCAAGATATGCAACGAAGAAGGTCAGAATGATATCAATGGCAAAGAAGCCATTTACGATGTTATCGAAAATGAAAAGGGCATCTTTCTTGTAAGTTAGAAATGAAAACTCGAATGGACAGATCCAAGCTGAGTAAACGACTAGAACAACCAGCCACAGCTCCCAGGCCCTGAAATGAGTAGTAGTAGGACATGAGGAGCAGGTATAATACAGAAAGAAATATCTGATTAAACTATGAGAAGGATCATCACCTATAATGGGGATTGAAAGGGGAAATTATGTGTTTTCGTAGCTTGGTTGACTGGTTTATTCGAGCTCCAAGGGATGGTAGGAGATCGCTAGAGAGGAAACTGCCATTATTAACACTCTCCACTTGGAACCCGTCGATACAGAATCGTTTGAAGAAGTTTCTGTAACCAGAAAATGACATGTTTGGTATTTGAATTCCTCAAGTCTATAATAGTGTTAAGACTTTGGTGGAGTTTAAGACCCTTGAGAATGACTATATATAAGGAGAGCCTGTGACCGGTGACACGAGTTAAGGTGCCTTTTGATAACCTTTATCTCAATAGTTTCCTGACATGTTTCAAAAAATTGTGTGGAAGATTATGCAACTAGCAGTTCATTAAGGAAGGAAAAGGAAGCGGGAAATCTTTCATCCAGTTTGCACAAGAAAAGGAAGCTAGACACAAGAGAAGTAGAGGAAAAAACTAGAAGCCAGAGGGCAGTGAAAGTGAAAGTGGCAGACATGAATCTTGTACAATGCAGTTGCAGTGATGAATTTCTGAGAGAGAGAAAGAGAAGATTGAATAAAGATGAAAAATGACAATGGTGGTGTACTGGTGCTTCTGGTGGGCGCTCCATCATCAACGCATGTGGAGATTGAATGATATATACAGAGAAGGGCTTGGTTTGCTTGGACAAATTTGAGTGAAAATGTATTGGGGTGTTTCTTTTCAATTTCCGTAAATGGGCCAGAGCCAGACATCCCTTAATCTAGTAGATTTAGAAAGGAGATTTCATTCATGGATGCCACCTGGACCAATTGCACCTTTGTTTAGAGGTATGACACTCTTCTTTCTTATTTGATTTTTATCATGAAACCCTCCCAACTGTCCAACAAACTCAATTTTAAGTCATCCTCTCTTTCCCTCTTCACAGTTAGTGAGAGCCAAGCCTTGTTTTTTCCTCAACGCAATTAGAACCATAAGTGTGAAATGGATTCCCGCCATATATCCATCAAACTCTCTCTCTCTCTCTCTCTTTCCCCTTCTCTTTCCATATGATTAAATCAATGCTTTATTCTTTTTAATTTCACCGACTTCTCTCTGATGGCCCGCGTAGCTTACTTATCCTTTTACCAAAATCTATCCAAATTAGACCAAAATCTATCCAAATTAGACTTTTCTTGGTTCTGATAAGCTTTTCTTCCCTGTAGAATGGTCACCTAGATTGATAGTATCTCCTTTTAATTAACGCGGCTGAGTGTGGAGACAAAAATTAGAAGTATAATAATTTTCCAGGAAAATACAGGTTGTGTAATCAAGGTATTATGTGAATAGGGTTAGCCCAGAAAAAGTTCTCATTTATTTTACATGTGATCAAGTTGGGACCCAAGATTATTTGTGATGTCCCCTTAGGTTTCCCTTGAAGATTCTTTCCGTGTCAGTTATAGATTGGCCGCTTTAGCCACCCACTTGCATAAATTTTAACAGATGGGATTCGATTTTCCGCCATTTTTGATAAGTTTCAAGTTATTGAATTGAATTGCTCCATCAATTTTTAAACACTGAATATGGTGGCAAAGTGATTTGGGAAAATTGGTAGAAGAAAGATTTGCATGATGAGCACATGTAGGAAATGACCCACACCGACAGTTAGACGGAAGAGTCTTTGGATATTGAATAATGTTATATTTACATCACTTTTTTACACCATTTTTATTACACTATGATGTAGTATGTGTTATAACCACACAAATTTTTAATTATTTTTAATTTTTAATATTATAATAAAATTTATGTGGTTATGACATATACCATATCATGAAAATTGTGTAAAAAAATAATATAAATATAGTATTACTCTTAGATATTTATCTACTGTTTTGAAAGGGGTTTACGGGAGTTAGGGTTGGGGTTTGGTCGGCTGAACTCCAGTGCTCATGACTTGTTCTAGATTTGAGTTTGACAGTGCCTTCTCATGAGGCTCGTGACAAATCCTACACTCTTGGAAACCTGACGTGGACAAATCAATGATCATACTCATCTCTTTCTACTACTACTGCCACCCACACCCACACTCACACCCATTAGTTTCTAAATATTTCATTGAGTTTTATAATCAAGTCAAACCCATCTCCTTATTTCATGAGTATTCAAGAACTCACCAAGAAACTAATAAAATTTATTATGTAAATATTCCTAAAGTAAGAGATGCTTAGTGGAGGCTTTGCATTGATTGCGTCTTTGCATTGTATTATCTCTAATATTAAATGGAGTATTTAATAACATCAACTTTGATAAAGTAATAAAAAATAATAAAAACAACACAATATAATATGTTTTTTCTTTGTTCAATCAAATAATTCAAATTGGAAATAGAAAAGAAATACTGGGTTATCTAATAACTTTTTTGACAATACTGGAAGTGGAAAGATTTAAATCAGGCTAGTGATAAAAAGGAAGAGTAAACTACTTTTTCTCACTTAAATAATGGTTTAATGACACTTTTTCACCCACAAATTTTTAAAATATTATTTTATTTATGATTCCGGTTTTATCTCACACCATCAGTATTCTCTTCACCAATCATTACTCACTAAAACCTCTCAAACTTTACTCTCGTTGACCTCATCAATCGTTGACAATCGAGCAATTAGGGTTTGCACAACCTCCCCTCCCAAGTCAAGTTCCGATCAATCTCAACCACCAAAATCTAACATTCCACCACCAAAAGACTTAGCAACTTCCCATTTTTAAACATCTCAACAGCTTGAACCGAATTTATTCTTTATTTGTCATTGGAACATAAATTTGGATAGTATAATGATATTTTAAAAGTTTGTGGGTGGAAAAGTATTATTAAGTTATTTTTGGGTGGGAAAAAGTCATTTAACTCTAAAAGGGAACCCTTTTTTAAGTAGGAAGATATAATGGACAAAGTAGCTTTCAATTAAATTGGTGATAAATCTTGCTTTAAAGGGGAACATCAAATTTCCTGTGACCACTAATTCACTAAACACCAATTTAGTTCAACTGTTTCTCACGGCCTCTCTGTCTAGACAATTTCATGCCACTTATATAATAATGTTTATTAATGGATTAAAAAGAAATTAAAAAAGAGAAAGATGGGTACGAGAATTCCCGTGATGGTTGAAACGCCACGGCTGAACCCATTAAAAATTTTATAACAATAGAGCAGTGGTCCTGTAAAATCTGGACCTCTATTTTCCCCATTTCTTTNTTAAGTTTTATAATCAAGTCAAACCCATCTCCTTATTTCATGAGTATTCAAGAACTCACCAAGAAACTAACAAAATTTATTATGTAAATATTCCTAAAATAAGAGATGCTTAGTGGAGGCTTTGCATTGATTGCGTCTTTGCATTGTATTATCTCTAATATTAAATGGAGTATTTAATAACATCAACTTTGATAAAGTAATAAAAAATAATAAAGACAACACAATATAATATGTTTTTTCTTTGTTCAATCAAATAACTCAAATTGGAAATAGAAAAGAAATGCTGGGTTATCTAATAACTTTTTTGACAATATGGAAAGTGGGAAAGAGTTAAATCAAGTTAGTGATAAAAAGGGAAGAGTAAACGATTTTTTTCCACTCAAATAATAGTTTAATAGTATTTTTTTACCTACAAACTTTTAAAATATTATTTTATTATTTAAATTTATATTTTATTTTCGATTTCGGGATCATCTCACACCATTACTATTCTCTTTACCGATCATTACTCACTAAAACCCTTCAAATTTTACTCCTGTGGACCCCGTCAATCATTGACAATCGAGCGATTAGGGTTTACGCAACCTCCCCTCCCAAATCAAGTTCCGATCAATCTCAACCATCAAAATCCAACATTCCACCACCAAAAGACTTATTAACCTCTTCTCTTTAAACGTCTCAATAGCTTGAACCGAGTTTATTCTCTATTTGTCATTAGAACATAAATTTGGATAGTAAAATGATATTTTAAAAGTCAATGGGTGGGAAAGTGTTATTAAGTTATTATTTGGGTAGGAAAAAGTAGTTTAACTCTAAAAGGGAACTCTTTTTTAAGTAGGAAGATAAAATGGACAAAGTAGCTTTCAATTAAATTGGTGATAAATCTTGCTTTAAAGGGGAACATCAAATTTCCTGTGACCACTAAACACCAATTTAGTTCAACTGTTTCTCACGGCCTCTCTGTCTAGACAATTTCATGCCACATATATAATAATGCTTATTAATGGATTAAAATCTTACCCTTAAAAAAGAGAAAGATGAGTACGAGAATTCCCGTGATGGTTGAAACGCCACGGCCGAACCCATTAAAAATTTTATAACCATAGAGCAGTGGTCCTGTAAAATCATGGACCTCTATTTTCCCCCATTTCTTTACGTGGTCCTTCCTTCATTGATTAACCAAATTCAAACCTCTATTACATTCTACTTATTTGGTCCCTCCTATTAATGAAATAGTAAGACTACTACGGGGGCTTTTATTTTTGGTGATATGTTTCAATAATGAAAGGATTAACCTAGTGGTCGAAAATGTTTGCTCTTTTTATTGATTTCTTAAGTTCGAACTTTAAGATCACCTATCACATTTGTAACTTACCATAGAATATTGAGTTTATAAGGTATTCAATGGAAGGTCCAAACACCCTTGTCATCGGAAAAAAAAAAAAAAATTGGTAGGTTTTATTGTATTATGTTAGGTCTGGAGAGCTATCAGCATTATAACCAAATCCGTGTATAGTCTAAAGCATGGAATCTTGGGCATAATTGCCTGAAAGTGATCTAGCAGGTTCCAATGATGATAAAGGAGAAGCTTATAATTATCAACACGAAAAGTAATTATACATTTCAAAATGATATTGGAGTTGTTTGATTTGGTCAAAGAATATAATATATAGTTTTGATTCTCGTCTTGAAATCTTTTTATTAGTCACATTTGAACCCCCCCAAACTGTAGACCCCAGTTTGAGTTTAGCTTTAAAAAAATTGAACTCCATTAAAACTTAAAATCATATGAAGCTCAAGGGAAAATTCTATACCTATCCAAAAACAACACGTGCAGGGCACATGAAATGGGAAATTGGCTTTTGATGCAAGGAAAGGTTTTTTTATTGATATATTTTAAATTTTATGAAATGGGAAGAGGAAAAAGACGAAGTGTTCACATAGAAATATACGGCCTTTGAATGAGGGTCAGATACATCTCTCTATCAAAATCCTCATCATTTTATTTCCCAAAATTTTCTTTACCAACTCAATTTTGTAGGGCCATTTCCCAACTCAACCCAACCCCAACTCAACCAAAACCAGAATCAAAATCAAAGCAACAAATATAACTAACCAAAGCTAAGGCTAAAATGATTGGAGTGAGTCAATAAGCTCTTACTATTTGTATCAAACTCGTTTATTTTATGGTGGTTAGGTTGGATATGGGATAGTGACCAGGCTACTGCCTTTGGCTTCAAAGGAATTATAATTTTGGCCAGACCCGAAAGCCAAAGGTGGACCAAATAAACTTGAACATAATTCAATCTCCTATTGGGATAAGAATGATAAGATGGTAGGTCTATATACTGTTGGAATAAATGATAAAGATATGTCAGGTTAATCTCTAGAATATTAGGAAACTTAACAACATGGTTTTGCGAAAATGATATGCATTGAACTTCGAGGGATTGACC